TAAATAATAAATATTTTCTAACGAATACAAAAAACGTAGTTGGTTTAATAAATATTATCTTACTTAGTCTGGTACAGTCACAATGCATAAAATCAATAAAGCAAGGATTTTTAAATAAAGTAAAAGTAACTAACTTTTGTTGAAGTTCAACAAATGATGAAGGTATTTACTTTTCTCATCTGTGTTTCCTAAACATGATTTTTCATCCTTCATGTCGTGGCTCATATCGCACACTTTGTCATTGTTTTATAGCAGTAAGTTCACACCGTAAATAAGATTATCGCATATCAGAAACAAACTGAGAGCTGTTCAGCGAGCGAGAACTGCGTGTAACGAAAGTGTTCTGATGATAAAAAAGGCCTAATAGTGACACAATTTATACCTTAGGTTTAACTTGTAAAGCTACATATAATTGTATGATTTCACCAAAAATATGTAATCATTATAAACTCCCAAGTAAGTTTTCATTTTTTATGTTGGTAAAAGTGCTTGCCTTTATTGAACTCGTGTGTGGAAGAATCTCTTCAGAATGGACTACAGCAAATTCCGTCATGTTGTTTGGATTTATGCACATATGGTGGCTTATTACTAACCATGACAAGAATTAATGATCATCAGAACCTTACTGTAAATATGTAGGTTTTGATTATTTTTAGCTTGCAATGGTTCATTTTTGTAATAAATAGTTTTTAGTTTAGATGACTTTTTTGGCTATCCTGTCATATTGAATAATTGATTAGTGTGCTATATAATGATAATGGTGAATAAGTGTAAATTTATCTTTCAAAACACCAGGTACCGCTCATGCTTGATCGGCTTCATGAACTAAGTGCTCAACAAAAAAAGAGGAAAGAAATGCAGATGATTGCTGACAAACCTTTTGCTCATTTAAACAGAGAATCAAAGGATGGAGAAGCATTTTCTGACGCTAAAGAAAAATCTCAAAATTTACCTTCACAAGATACATCACCCAGTAGTAAAAAGGTAGGTTCTGATAATGGTCCATTACCTTCTCTCACCAGGATAGCTGTTCTTGTTCATTGCTGCCCTCTATATGCAAAAAGTTTTTCACATGCCACAAGCCATGAAATCTCACATACCCCATGATCAATGTGGTTCAGCTGCTTCTTGCATGTAAATCATCATGTGACAACCCTCCACCAATAAGAGTATGACATAATGCTTATGACTCCCTATATTCGATTCTACCAAATCATCACTTCTCATTAGGCAGTGATCAAGTGCAGATGGTTTCACTTGTGCTTTTTTCATGTGTTCATTTTGGTTTTTTTTTTGTGAAGTAGTGATTTACTTGATTTATTTATTTGCAAAAGTTAGTTTTGTCTGTAGTAGTTTTCTGTGATAACTTACCTTTGTTTATTGATTTTTTTATCATTTTCGACTTCTTCATAGTTTAAGATGAATTCTGATGTTTGTGTTTTACAACTTCTGATATTATTACTGCTAATTCAATGCCATTATGGGCTTCAGGTCGGGGGGGTCTCAACCGAGGATTTTTCGGCTATCACTCGTCGGGAGATTGATTGTTATATGAGGTGTCCTTTTTCTTCCGACAATGTTCAGGTTCCTCCTGCATTTTCTGAACCTGTTCATGATGAGGAGAATTTTGAATGTTTTTTTTTCTTTCTTACTACCTATGCCACACATTCCCACACATCTCCTTTCTGAGGCACTCCCCAGATCCCCAGAAAGGTTTTTCGGGGGATATATTAGTGTGGTCCTGTCTAGAGGATAATGTTAATTACGGTGATGGTTCTTACTCTCGTGCTCCACCACAAGGTGTTTTCAGTGCTTGAGGCTGAAGTAGCACTATGGGGTGTCAGCCTGATTGAGTTTGATGTGATCTGCCACATTGGCACATCTCATCCTACTCTCATTTGGATGTCTGGTTCCTGGATGTGTGGTTGATTATGGATTTGTGCAGAGGTGCCCATTTAATAGATTGGTTTGCACAGTACATGCTTCCGTTCTACTTAACATGAGGTTAAGATAGTGTGGATCCTTCTACTATGGGTCATAGGTTCTTTTCCTGATGCTGCTTGGTTTTAGACTGGAGTTGACTGGCCGCATACAGTCTGTTGCACCCTAGCAACTCTACACTTTGGGGCACATTCATTTTAGCTTTCCTCACATTCCTGTCTGAAATATAATTTTTCTACAGTCTTCTACGGGATTGATATTCCAGTATACTGTGGTTCGGATTCCAACCCAACTGGGTGTGCTGCTCCCACTTTACATCAGTGTATGTGACACTTATTTCCACACTGGGCACAGAGTATATCTGGTACTGAAATGATGCAGTGATGTGTTCCTCTTCCAATGGGGATTGCACTTCAAGAGTGCTTTTGGTCAATTTCAAAGGATACTTATTTCTTTCTGTCATGATATAAAAGACTATTTTAGATATTATTGATTAATTTATTTTTGTGAGTGAATATTTTATTATTATTGTTTAGTTTTTGTTATAATAAGAATTAAAAGCAGATGATTGTAGGAAG